AAAAAACAGTTTGTGATGGTGCAATGTATTAGTAAACCTGGTCCTAATCTGTTCAGCAGCATGACTGTAAATAGGAAAGTCGATATGGTAGTCTTACCTCCTTCCATGTCATCAGTCCAGTTCCTCGAGCTGCTGGCTGGTGAGGAAGGTGAATGGTAATACTCCCCACCTGGACTATCAGCCTCTTCCTCTATAGAGCCAGACTTATGGCGTTTACTCCTGAAGACACACAGAGAGATGCTCACACATTTAGGATCCTGGTTTCACTGGGCACCATGTGAGGAGATCAAGCATAGTCCAGTGTTAAAATGCATAAGGTAAGATTACTGTGAGGCCATAAGGGCCTGTGTGTGGGCTGAAGTCAACTTGCTATTTAGCAGCATTACTGTTTCCAACCCTGGCAACCCATTTTCATTTAACCATTTCTGCATGTCTTCCCCCCCCCGCCCCCCTCTCTCTCTGCTTTCCTGTCAGTCTCTACTGTCACTATTAAATATTATTAATATTATTAAATAAAGCCAAAAAAGGGCAAGAACCAAAAAAACATTTCTGTAAACTATTGTGTACTGATATCATGTCAGATAAATTCTGTAAAGAATAAGTGATGTTTCTTACTTTTCCAACCATATACTGATTTTAGTCCGCACAATAACACGCTGCACACTTAATGTTCCTCCTAAGTGCAATTGATTTTCCAATGAATACTTGTTGCAAACTTAAGATGCCTAGTGAATAAAAACATTCAACTGGATACAGTGGAGGAAATAATTCTTTCATCTCCTGCTGAATTTGCAAGTCTGCTCACTTAGAAAGAAATGAACGGTTTCTCGTTTTTATGACAGTTTTGTTCTGATGGACAGAACGTCAAACAGGAAAACACATTAAATAAAAGTTCTGAACGGATTTTCACGTCATTGTGAAAAAAGTATTTGATTCTCAAGAACAACATGACTTAGTACTTAGTGGATGAGTAAACCAAGAAGAATGGTAAATTCTGTGATTCTTATATAGCACGTGTCTACTCTTCCAGAGCACTCCAAGCTCTTTATACAAAATGCTACATTCACCCAATCGTACAAGCACTTTCTTCTATGCTTTTAAGTGCTTACTAACTAACAGTCACACACATTCATGCTCCGATGGATGCAAGAGCAACTTTGCCCAAGGACATTTGGCATGCTGGGGTGAGTCAGGGATCGAAGCACCAACTGTCTTATCAGTAGATACCTCCTGAGCTACTTCTTACTGCTACATGCAGGAAGAAGTTTCTTGTATTTGGTCACCAGGTTTATACACATCTCAGGAGGGATTTTGGCCTACTCCTCTTCACAGACTCTCTCTAAATCCTTTAGGTTTCTTGGCTGTTGCTTAGAAACTGGAAGCTTTAGCTTTCTCCACCTTAATGTGCTTCATCTCATCAACGTCCTGGCTGAGAGAAGGAGGTTCTCATCCAAGATTTTATTGTGAAATCATCTTTAGCAGAAAAACAGCCCAAACTATGATGTTTCCAACTCTGTGTTTGATTGTGCGAATGATGTTCTTTGAGTCACATTCAACCTTTCTCTGCCTTCAAAACATGGCGGGCGGAGCTGATGTAAAGAGGTCAAATCTGGTTTCATCTGACTGCAGCATTTTCTTCCAATCCTTCTTTGTAAGTGAGCAAACTTGCAAATTGTGCAGATATGTATGTGTGATATGGCCGGGGAAATAAAAAGTTTGCCACAGACGTGGGTTTACCAGGCCGACTGAATGAAAAGCTGACTAATTCTTCACTGTGACAAAGAAGAAATTCTGCCAGTCTTTCCTGTGGTAGTCGCTCATTTATTACTGCCTAACATTAACCCTTCAGCGCAGATACAGGCTTGTCTGAGCTTAGTTTTATCTTATTTTTGGCACAAATGTACTATAGAAAGTTTATTTTTGTATTGGGGTCAATGACTAAAGGTGTTTCTGTACCTACAGTGAAAAAAGTAAGAAAATAGTAAGCGAGCAAAGAGCATAACACGGCCTTAAAGAAAGAGACTTTTGTTTGAATAAATTCTCAAAGCTACTTTATCCTATTAAATGTGATTTAAATGAGCAATTCAGAAAACTGTGCTCTCCAGTAAAACAAAGGCTGAAGTGTTAGAAAGGTTAAACAAGGACAGGAAAACTAAAGCAGCAGTGGGCTAAACAAGGTGATCATTGAGGTATTTTTCTCATCCTGGTATCCTGCCTTACCTCACAGCACTGTTTACATGAATCTTACTGCAAACGGACATCAGAGCCTATAGTAACTGCAGTCAGGGGATGAGTCTCTGTACCATTTCTTGGCTGCTCATCCTTCCCAGTGAATCCGTTTTAAAATAGACAGGATTATTGGACAAATGGATTCCCTACTTCCATCTTTTTCCCAAAGAATTAAAAAGGTAAACCTCAAAAACCTACAGCTCTCACACATCACTTCTTATCACTTACACTTTTACAGTGTAAGTGTAAACCTCTACCTTGCAGAACTGCAATTGCTCTAAATATTTATCAGCCTCCTATTCAAAAGTTTTTAAAGTTGAAAAGACTTATATTTCAGCAAGTCGGTCCAATCTTTTTGATAATATTTCTGAAAATTTTCAGTCGGCTTTCAGTGCCCAGCCTTACCTGCAGGCATACATAAAATACACAGCATCTGCGGATGCTTATCTGGCTCTCGATGCTAGAGAATTGTACAGTATATAGGCATCATCCTTTATATGTCAAAAAATCTGACTGAGCAGCTTTAGGCATAGACCCATCTTATGCAGTACAGGCCTCCTGGTTGTCCCTTTATTATCTTTCTATGTATTTGTTTTCATTCTCCTATATTTTAATGTGCACTTGCATTTTGCCTTTTATGTGCTTGAACATTCACCAGAAATTGAAGTTTCCATTTACAACCCCAATTTTTTGCATGTTTAGACATCTTTGTGAGGACAGGTGTGTGTGTGTGTGTGTGTGTGTGTGTGTGTGTGTGTGTGTGTAAAAATACCCGCTGGATGAGGTGCTGGCCAGTGATCGTCTGAGACTGACTGGCTGGTTGACAGACTGGTTGAGATCATAGGCCAGATGACCCTGGAGCTCCCCCACAGAGAAACCAGGCCCTACTCCTGTTACAACGGGAGCTACATGGGAAAAAGACAGATTGTGTTTATGAGTTACGCACTTAAAATAGAATATCAGGTACACAAAGTGTGTGGCAAAGCCCAATACTGTGCTAATTGACTAGTCTTTAATTTCCTATCTAGATTTCATTATATCTACTCACAAAGCAGCAAGGAAAGTTTGTTAATCATGTACATGTAATTCACTAGATTTGCACAGTCAAAGCTTAAGATTTTGCTATGGCCTACCCCACTTAGTTCAGATCACCAGTCATACCAGATCAGTTTACTTTTAAAGGTCACGAATAAAAACAAAACAAAACAAAAGGCTGTAAATGTTTTCTGTTTGAATATTTTACATGGTTAATAAAAGAGACAGTGTGGTTTGATTCCACATGTTTAGAAATTCAAGTCCATTTAGAGGAAATGACTTGAGTTGTTCTGTGGGACCACTTTTATCCTGAGATCAAACTATCCTGATAGGATTGATGTACTCCACCATGACATGTTCTCCACCCCCAGGAGACAAAGGCTCTATAAACAGCTAAATGAGGGTGAAAATTGGATATGGATATCCTGTTGTTACCATATCTTACCAAAAAATAAGGCCGACAAATTAGAAATGCTGTGCTTTTCTACTTTACTTGAGCACTCAAAGCACTTCATACAGCATATCTCACTCACCCTTCTACACATAAGTGCTTCCTATTGAACATTCACACTCTGAGGAATGCATCAGAAAGCAACCTGGGGTTCAGTACCTTGCCCAAGGACATTTGGTATACAGACTGGAGCAGTCAGGGATCAAACCAACCTTCTGATTAATAAACTGCACTGCTGCCTGAGCTACAGCCTCCACCAGTGCTCTCAATTGACATCATAAAAACGACTTGAAATTGCACTTGCATTTTGTTCTTATATTCTCAAACTAGTCCAAGAATAATATGCCCTTCAACATTTTTCAAATTCAAATATTTAAACCAAATCTGTCAAGACAGAGCTAAAGAAGGGTTGGTGTTACAATGACAATACTAGCCTCTGTAAGAACACTGTCAAAGGTAGCGTAGCTGTGTAAAGGAAAAACATAATGGTAAAGCAGGCTTACTTCTCGAGACCTGAACAAGCTCAGTAACACTAAAAACTCCTGATGTTACAAAACTCTCCTGGAACTCTGGACCATCTGCAAAAATAAAACAGCAGCAGTTACACACTAAGAAAATAGATAAACTAAGGTAGTATTTATATAATTACACTTTGGATCTTGATGTTTAATTAAACAGATATGCCTAAATAGCTTATTTGGTCTTTGCAGTCCAAAGCAAAAATATAACTGATAGATTGGGTAGTTTTCTTAATTTATACAGGTCCATGTTTCCGCTTGTAATAAATATTAATAACAGCATTTAAAACTTGTAAATACAAGGCACAGCTCAGATTACTGCCCAAAAATCTGAATCCTTGCAGATTTGTTGTTACTTTGTGTCTAAGAAGTCTCTAGCAAATTAGACTGTTTATGTACAAGATATTTATTTTATCTGATCATATTACCTGATAGAGACATATAGAGATATGTAAACAGATTAAAGAAAAATAAAGAAATATACTTTACATTACCCATGGTGGCAGTTCGACTGTCCTCCTGATCAGAACCCACACCAGTGCGACTGGGACTGCTGCTCTGCTCGGCCTCTGAAAGGAGAGTGCGAGAGTGAGACAGTGTTTGTGGATGAGGCAGAGAACAGAACAAGATTTCAGCAATTTTAACAAGCAAAGTAGGTCAGCCAATATATTCTTTCTTATAGGAAAATATAAGAACAAGCATATTTAAATATTGTTAGTTCCATCCTCAAAAAAGTTTAAAGATGCAGTAAAAACACAGAATGGATATATATGTTTTTTGTTGTTTGTTTGTTTGTTCTTCACTGACATGCTCATCCAAAACCAGCAGAGGGCATATTTTAACATATTAACTGCATATTTTGTGACTGAAAACCATTTTCATGGCAGATTTTCTTGATTTGTTCAATGTGTTAAATAAGATCACTCGTGTTCATTTTCTATTTAGCAACACAACAGTTTTATTCAAATACACCAGGCAAACAGGCATGTGATCACCATCCATCTTTTATAACCTGTTTATTAATGAAAGTCACCATTTTGCATTGTTATTCATACATTAAATCTTTAATTTATTCGAACTCAATTATTATAATTATTTTCTTAATATTAGAAAGTGCAGCATTTGTCATAAATTATAGTAAAACATAAAAAAGTCTCTTAAGACTTGCAAAACATATCTATTTAATGTTAAATGTTAATTTAAGGATTTTTTTCCCATTTGGGGACTAATGTTAAATTTCACACCAGTACAGGCTCTGACAATGATTAACGTGTGTTTGCATTTAACACAAATTATTCGACACCTGTGGCTAACAGGTGAACACTGTTCTGACACTAATACCAAACTCACACATAGAGAATACAGAACGGCATTTTAAAGTGAGAAAAGTTAAACTTTCCAGGATATCCTGAAATCATAAGAACAAATTTTGATGTAATAGAAATGTAGAACAGAGAATCTTGAAAGAAAGAAGTTTTTTTTTTCTTTACAACAAGATGCAAGATGCAACGTCACCATGTAGGAATCTCATATTTTATCTAATATTACCAGAGGTCTACTATATTTAGATGTATACATGAAAGTCAGCATGAACAGCAATGTTGAAGTATGTAGTATGTAGTGCATACCTCTCTCTTGCACATAGTAAGCAAGGTAGAGGTCGAGCTCCTTGACAGAGACAGAGATGTGTCGAGGCTGGACACAGAGGACTGGATTGGAGCACTGGCCTCCTTTCACCAGCCGTTCACCATCTGTGCTTTCCAGTGGGATTCCTTTAAAAAGGATAACCATCACCAGGTCTAATCTCCACACCTTGGAAAAACAAAGCAAAAAAAACCCACTTATGTCTGACTAAAAACACGAGTTTCACTCTTGCTATGTTTAGTGTGAAACTGGTCCCCTTAATGGGCCAAGCATCCATCCTTTTCCTTGACCGCTTAAGACACAGAGTTACAGACTATCAGAGACTGACAGGCAGGGTACATACAGGCTCCCATTTTATCACAGGGCGAACAGATTCACAATTGTAACCAATTTAGAATCACTAATTAACCTTGCAAGCATGTCTCTGGATTGTGTAAGGAAGCCATAATACCCAGAGAGAACCAATACAGGCACAGGCAATGAAGCAAACAGTTAGCTATAAATTTAGCATTTCCTAATTTTATTAAGCCAACTTCAGGGTTAACTAAAATTGTATTACAAGTTTCATAAAGGCTATGATTTTGATTCGCTATTCTGCTTGACTGTCTCTGACTTTAACGACATATATCAAATACTTTTTAAGATATAAAATGGTCCATCAACCCACTTTCAGGCCTTTTTTTGAGGCAATGCTTGAACAGGAAGATCACAAATACAATTAAAGATCAGAGCCTAAAAAATTCTCTAGCTTTTCCTACCATTAAAATAATGATGATCAACAACTGGCAATCTAACTTTTTAACACATTGACTTGCTCTGACTTCATCTGTTATTAGACTCAACTGGCTTCTTTGAAAATGGAAATGAACCCACCCACCACTTTAATATATGGTGTAAAAACTGTACATTTAACAGTATTCCCTGAAAACCCTCCTTTGTATGATCACAAAGATAAATGTGTACACACGGGCGATACAATTCATTACAATATAAAGGCAAGTTTATTTATATAGCACAATTCAACAGCAAGATGATTCAAAGTGCTTCACAGAGACACATAAAACAAACCTCCCTGTCTAAGTCTGGTTCTGCTGAAGGTCACTTTTGTTAGTTCATATATTTTTCTTGCTAGCCTCATGTTTGATGTAAAATCCTGAAAGACAAAAACCTGATACGACCTTGTATTGTCACAAAAACGTTTTTAATGAAAAAGTCATGGAAAATAGCATTCATAAGACAAGGAAAATCAGCTGTTAAACCCACTCACAGCAGCGATTGTGCAGTTCAGGCAGAAACAACCCGGCTACAAGTACAAACAGTAGGTAATAATCTTACCTTCGACGGCAAAGTTGATGTCACTGCTAGTCTGAGTTAGACTAAGTTAGTTTAATTAATTAAAAACTGCTTGATATTTCACATCTTTGACAGCAATTTTAATCTGCATTTCTATCTCTTCAGCCAAAAGAAAATACAAACCAACTTTTTAATTTACCTTGTCAGCTTGTCGGAGACAGTCTATGCGTCTCATTTTGCCTTTCTGGTCAGGGTTTGACAAGACACAACATGCAGCTTTCTTCCCGGTGATTGATAGGACAAAGTCTTCCCTGCATTCAGGTCTAATATCCTTTCTTAGCTTAGCCAAAAGACGACTGGCCCACTTTTGTTTCACCTAGGAACAGAATAAGAAACAGAAACTCTAACTGAAAAAGTCAGCTTTGTTCTAGCATATTCTTAGTGTAATTGGGGAAGATGCAATATAATATGGGTATGATATAAAACATATAAAAACCATACTACTGTAATTCATTATTATCAGGGTGTCCTAAAAACTCCCCAAACTCCCCACTGTCACCAGTAAGTGCTTGCTCATAGGGGGTCGTCTGATTGTTGTGATTTTTGTTTTCTGTTTTCTTTGTGTTATTGCAGGGTCTTTACCTTACAATATAAAGCACCTTGAGGCAACTGTTGTGTGATTTGGAATTAAAATTATTAGAATTTAAAAAAAAAAAAAACTTTTTAAAATAAAAAAAGTAGTGCTTATTTCAGTTATCCAATATACTTATACCACCTCTGCCTTCTCCCCAAGTAGTTCATCTTTGACAGCTCTCTCTTCTTCTTTAGTCATCCTCTTCTCATGTTTTTTGAAGTACTTCCTTTTCCTGGCCTGGAGGTTAAACCACGTGTAGGCAAAGGCACGAACCTGGGGCAGCAGAGCCTCAATGAACGGATGGAACTCATCCTGGATGATAGAGACACACAGTACAGACTCAGCAATCAGTAACTAAACTCAAACACAAAGAGTAGGAGGTGTAGCTTTGGATACTAACGATATACTGGTAACGAAACCTTTAACAATGAATCTGCTTCTTGAATATTTTGCCTACATTGTTTAGATTTGACTTGTGCATCAGCAGCAAGACAGAACACTAACATTTTACACATCTGGATAAGACGCACATACTAACAGTCTCTATGATATATAAGCTAATTTTATATGAAAAAAGAAGGAATATAGTTTTCTGAGAAATTAAGTGTATCAGATGCAGACATATAAAACGTGCTATTAAAAAGTTTAGAGATCCTCTTTCACATTAACAGAATGTAGCATTTGGGTACATTGCAACAGTCAGTCTACAGCAATATCCCAGAGCACAAGCAGCACACTTCACAGTAGAAGACTCTGCACTCTCCAAGTCATGTCAGATCAAGACAAGGGATAGCTACAGATGATAACATTGTACTGATGCCAGTACCAGTACCAGATGACCAAGCCTACAGGTCTGATTCTTCTTTAATAGCCTTATTGCTTTCTGTTCAATGTATCAGAGAGCAGTAATTATGTTTTTTTAAAGGTGTAAAAAAAATAGATGTTTTCAGGAACAATGTAGCTGTTCCAAATCTTGATACAGTGGAAAAACAGGGTCAGGGTTTTGAATGTAATAATTAACAAAAATAAAAATGAATAAAAATAATGGGACACCAAATTCCTATTCAGAAACAGCAAAGATGGCATTGGCCCCACCCATACCTTAAAGAGTCAAATTACAGCATCAAGAATTAAGAATTAAAAAAATGTTCCATAGTGTTTGGAGCAGTCTCAAGCCTGAGCTTTTGACTCAGAATGATCTCTTTTAAATACACTAACCAGTTTATTTGAAACTTTGGTCATGTGTCATTGTAACAGTGTATTTATGGCAATTTAGGAAAAAGCATAATAGCTCCACTTCAATTTAAATACTTAGAAAAAGAATGTTTTCCATATCTACACATTTCAAAGCTATTCACTCTAAACTAATACAGACTTGTAGGAGTAACCATGTAACTCTTGGAATGCACACAATGGTAAAAGTGGCCCGATGAATGTAAAAACAAAGAATTACCAGATTTTTTTTTTTACCTGATTTTTGTTTCTAAGAAAAATGAGAGCCACATATGAGGATATTCATTTCAAATTTCGATAGAACAGTAGCAGTATAATGTCCTCATAAGTGGATATCAGGCCCTTGTAGAGCTAAATTGAGTATTTTGGTCTAAATAACCCAAAATGTGATGTCCACATATGTGGAGGTTAAATAAAAATTATAAATTGAGTTTCAGATCATTGAGTGAAAAAAGCATTTTTTCCCTTACAACCCAGCCAGCATTCTGGCATCCAAAGATTGTCTGTGTGCCACATGCAGTCAATTAAATTTTACTTATATAGCGCCAAATAACAACAACACTTGCCTCAAAGTGCTTTATATTGTAAGGTAACGACCCTACAATAATACAAGAAAAAGAGAGAAAACCCCCAACAAGCTCTTTGTGGGAAAGAAAAACTCCCTTTAAACAGGAAGAAACCTTCAGCAGAAACAGGCTCAGGGATCTGGCAGTGAGCAGATGAAGACAGGACAAAAACATGCGATGAAAGAGAGCCAGATATTACTAATAACTAATAATTAAATGCAGAGAGGTGTATGAACACACAGTGAGTGAAAAAAAGGTGAATGAAGAAGAAAAACTCAATTATTCATGGAAGCCCTCAGCAGCCTACATCTATTGCAGCATAACTACGGGAGGACTCAAGAGTCACCTGAACTATATCATTTAGCAAAAAGGAAAGACTAATCTTAAAAGTAGAGATAGTGTCTGTCTCCCAAATACAAACTGGGAGCTGGTTACAAAGAAGAGGTGCCTGAAAACTGAAGGCTTTGTCTCCCATTCTACTTTTAAATACTCTAGGAACAAGTAAGCCTTCAGTCTATGAGAGAAGTGCTCTAATGGGGTGATACGGTACTATAAGGCTTTTAAGATAAGATAAGGCCTGATTATTCAAGACCTTGTATCAATAACAGACAGTCCTAGTTTCAACTCATTATGTGAATAAAGCACACGTGTCCACAGAATCAATTTCTTCCATTCCAAACAATCCACCACTATGAGCAAGACAAAGGCTGTCAAAGACATCAGGAAGAAAACTGTCGATGTGCACAAGGCTGGAATGAGCTAAAAGAGCAACTACAAGAAACGTGGTGAAAAGATGACAGCTGCTGGTGCAATTCTTTGAAAATTGAAAAAATATCAAATCACTCAATTTGGAGTTTCATGGAACATCTGGCCTCATGGGTGAGGATGATCATCAGGCATGGAAGAAAGCACTGCAGTCAGAAAAAAACAAAATCGAACTTTCTGACCTTAACTTGACCCGCCACTTTTAGAGGAAGAGAAATGCTAAGCATGACCCAAGGAACACTAACCATTTTTGTGCTAAGAGTACGAGAAGACCAGCGGGAGAGACCTTTGAACAGGACCATGTACTATAAATTTTTGGACGAGAACCTTCTTCCCTCAGCCAGAACAGTTAAGATGGGTCATGGACCAGTCTTGACAATGACCAAAAACACACAAAAGGCTAAAGATGAAGCACACTAAAGTCATACCTCGGCCAGGCATAGCCTGTCTCTACACCTCAGTCCTATAGAAAATCTGTGGAGGAAGCTGAAGTTTCAAATTTCCAAGCAGCAGCCAAGAAACCTGAAAGATTTAGAGAGATTCTATAAAGTGGAGTCAGTTAAAATCCCTCCTAGGATGTCTGTAAACCTAGTGACCAATTGCAAGAAACTTCGTACTGGTGTCTTTGCCAGCAACTTCTCAACCAAGTACTCAGTGAGTATTAGGCCTTTATAACTATACAGCATCAACAATATGGTCAGGTCTTGGGGGTCCAGGGCTGCCAGCAAGGTCACTGCGTCCACCCAGCTGAATTCTGCTGATACATTAATTCCTACAATTTGATCATAAAAGACCACCACTGCTAATAAGTTACTGCAGTGCAAGCTCAGTTTAATTGTCTAATTCACAGTAGTTTAGTCCTTCTGCACCAATCGTAGTAACCAGCATGACTGAGGAGAACACTAAGTAGTTGACCCTAATGTGCACAGTTTGCACAGTACCAGCATGTCTCTTTGAAACTAAAAAGGGGTCATTTAATCTGGTGCAGCTAATTTCAAAGCATGACACTAATCAAAAATTAAAAAAAAAAAAAAAAAAAGGGGGGAATATGTTGAGGATTTTGTGCGCTCACAAAGAGCTGTCCCTAATGTGTTGTGATTTCATTGATTTACTTCAGTACTTAGAGAAAATGTCTTTGTTGTCTGCCTCCTGCTTTGCCTATAAGGTAGATATTTTTGCACTTTTATAACTGTGTCTACATTTCACCATGACTGTAGTTTGTATAAATCATTTTATCCATTTTTTTTTTGCCTTTTTTTGTATAGCAAAGTGACTTGATACCAAGGTATCATGTCTGTGAAAGTTCTCAGTGATACCTTGATACCAAGGCTTTCCTACATTCCTACCACAGTTGGTTCACATGGTCTTCTAGCGAGCCAAATGGTTTGCTGTAGTTAATCCAGATTGCTCAAAGACAACACAAAGTTGCAAAGTTATTGCTATTATTAAATTCAAATTTATACTTAGGTCCATGAGATTTGAGACACATTCAAGCTCACATTAATTTGACAAAAGTTACATTATTCCATGTCCATGTAAGTTCTCAATCATCCAGGTCATGGTAATCTAAGGAGTTTGGAAAGAATGGCGACTGGACTTTAAGTTTCTTGAAGACGTTTCACCTCCCATCTAAGAAGCTTCTTCAGTTCTAAAACCAAATGGTGCTGAGTCACAGGTATTTAAAACCTAGTGGGAATTTCCCTTAAGAGGGTCATCATCCAACTATTGATCATGTCCCTCATCACATGAGTCAAGGTGTCAAAAAGGGTGTGGATCATTATAAGCAGAGGTTTCAGGTGAAACCATTGTGAGAACTTATGAGATGTGAGTGGCGCCTGAGAAGGGATCTCAAAACTGGATTGTAGGTGGCAGACAGTTTGTGTCCTTAGCCACCCCCTCTGTTCAAGGATGGTCGTTCACAGTGGACAGAGGTGGCTTCTTTCACTCCTCTTTCAAACCGACTGTCTCCTCTATCCAAAATGTGAACATTGGCATCCTCGAATAAGTGACCTTTAACCTTTAGATGCAGGTGTAAAGCTCAGTCTTGTCCTGCCAAGGTGGCTCTTCTATGTTTTGCCATGCGTGTATGGAGTGTTTGGTTTCTCCTCACTGTACTGCAGTTTTGTCCTCGGGATGAACCAGTTTTTGTATGAAGTAGCTTAGGAGGTCATGCTTGTAGAACATTCTCCGGAGTTTCTCTGATAAACCTGCTACATAAGGGATGACCATGTTGTTCTGTTTGTCCTTCTAATTCTCCCTAGTTGGTGTGTGACCTTCTTTCCAGTTCATCTTTGCTGATTTGATGAATGCCCATTTAGGATAACCAAATGTTTTAAGAGCTTTCTTTACATGTATGTTCTTTTCTTTCCCTTCTGCACACAGCACAGTCCAGAAATGGCAAACTATTACCTTTGTCTCTTCCCTGGTGAACTTTATGTTTTTATCCACTGAGTTGATGCGAGCAGTGAAGGATTCAACTTCTCGGGCAGTGGCTTGGTGCTGTCCTTTTGAAAGAACCAAGAGCTTTACTTTCTGCTTCCTCCATGTGAAGGTTGACTACAATGGATGACACTGGGAAGCCAATGACACATCCATGTTTTTGTCTGTATAAACCCTTGTTGTATTTAAAATATGCTGTGGTAAGGCCGAGATCTAACAGTTTGCACATTTGTTTGGGGGTAAAGCCGGTTCTGTTTTCTAAGGAGCTGTCTTGCTGTAGTCATTTCCTGACAGTTTCCACTACCTCAGTTGTAGGTATGCAAGTAAAGCGTGAGACCACATCAAAGGACACTATGGTTTCATCCAGATCCAGTGTAAGTTTCTGGACCTTGATGGTGAAGTCAGAGTTTCTGATGTGATGGATATTAAATTTGAAAGGCAGTTTTAAAATTATTATTGAATTGACTAGCAAAACAAAAGTTATGTAAACCTACATGGCCCCATGTAAAAAAATAATAATTACCCGCTAAACCTAATAACTGGCTATGTCACCCTTGATAACAAAAACTGCAAATAAGCATTGCAATTACTTGCAATGACTCTTCCACATCACTATGGAAGAATTTGACCCACTCTTCTTCTGCAAAGATGAGTGGGTCAAGTGTTTTAATTCAGGCACATTAGAAGGTTTTCCAGTACGAAAGGCCCGCTTAGGCTAATACCATCTCAATCTGATTTAAGCCTGGACTTTGACTAGGCCACTTTATTTTCACTCCATTTCATTTTGCTTTTTGAGCAACTTAGAAGTGAACTTGCTGGTGTGTGTGTTTTGGATCATTGTTCTGCTGCATAATTGTGCTTGACGATCAGGGCCTGAACTAATGGCTGTTCCTTCAAGATTTCCTGGTAGAGAGCAAAATTTATGGTTTCATCAAGTACAGCAAGTCGTTTAGGTCGTGAAGAAGCAAAGCAACCCCAGACCGACACACTACCACCACCATCTTTGACTGTGGGTATGATGTTCTTATGTAAATGTACTGTGTTAGTTGGATGCAGTTAGTTGACTGAACAAAAATGGGGTTAGTTTCCTTGGATGTTTTACCTTCAGGGCTGGATACTCTGAGCTTAATTAACAATTTCCTTTTTATGTGTAGCATGATTGATGACATCACTACTATGATGTCTACAATCTAGAATGACGAATTTGCAGTTTTCTAAATGATTTTGTTGAACAAAACTGAACAGCTTATGATGAAGCTGGTGTTAAGCAATTGTGTTTAAAGTTCCTCTGTGTTCATGCTATGAAATACAGCATCATTCTCTGAGAAGGTGCAGCATGTGTCAGGATACAGTTAGCATGGGTTTGAGTACTTTTTTGAATGTTCCTAATTCAAAACAGCAGCCACAGCTTTATCAGTAGATGTCAGACAGACATCAAATTTAATCCACTTTCCATCTCTCTATATAATTAACAAAACATCAAAAAACTGTCTCAGAGAGCTGTTTACAAGTTTACTGTGAAATGATTTCCTGACTCAATATACAGTGTGTGTGTGTGTGTGTGTGTGTGTGTGTGTGTGTGTGTGTGTGTGTGTGTGTGTGTGTGTGAATTCATATTATGAGTTTAAAAAAATTATAAAAACTTAATCCATCACTTAACCCAGCTGCCTTGGCAAACTCTAAACCAATCTCCTACCTTCCTGTCATCTCAGAAATTCTTGAAACTATCTATAAAACTGAAAAACATGCTTACCTAGGCTGGATTATTGGAATTCGTTATTATAAGGCTGTCATAACAACACTTGAAAAGCCCTCAGTTGATCCAAAATGCTGCAGGAAAAGTTGTGTATTTCTTCATATTTCTCCAATAGTTGCATCGTTCCATAGTTTTACTGTTAAATCTGAAATTGCATTTGAAATCATTCTCCTCATATACAAGGTCTTGAATAATTAGATTGTATCTCATCTTAAAGACGTCATAGTACCATATCACCCCATGAGAGCATTTCACTCTCGGACTGCAGGCTTACTTGTGGTTCCTAGAGTATTTAAAAGTAGAATGGGAGGCAGAGCCTTCAGCTTTGAGGACCCTCAGATAACCTCTCTACTTGTAAGATTAGGCTTAAAACTTTCCTTTTTGTTAAAGCATATAGTTAGGGTTACTCCACTGCTGGGTGTGTTGCCATGATGCACTGAGTGTTTCTTCTTCTTTTGACATGCACTATTCGTTTTTAAGCCACTTTGTATTTAATCATTAATTATTATTAATCTCTGGATCTCTTCCACACTGTATCTTTTGTCCTGTCTTCTTCCCCTTCCCTTCCAACCGGTCATGGCAGTTGGCTGCTCTTCCCTGAGCAGGGTTCTGGCAGAAGTTTCTTACTCTTAAAAGGGAGATTTTTCTTCCCACTTTCACTAAGTGCTTGTTCATAGGGGGTTGTGTTACTGTTGGTGTTTTCTCTGTATTTTTGTAGGATCTTTACCTGGCAATACTAAGTACCTTTGGTACATAGCACTGTTTTTAGTGCTATGTAAATAAAATAAAACTGAATCTCTGTCTGATTTCCACACATAGCAGGCAGCATTACACAGTGCAGCTTTATGGAAATATAGCATTTTTGAAGAGTTAAAAAAAACCTCCTGCGTTTGTAGAGTGCATTGACTGGTCAGTAAAACTAGAAAGATGCTATGTAAAAAACGTATCACAATCCTTCCTGATTCCTTTTGTTTTTGCATATTTGTCACAGTCACATGTTTCACATTATCAAACAAATTTGAATATTAGACAAAGATAACCTGAGTAAATAAAAATTTAATTTATTAAACAAAAAAGTTATCCAAACCTATGCTATACAAAAAAGTAATTGCCCCCTAAACCTAGTAAGTGGTTGTGGCAGCATTCAGAAGTGAACTAGCCTGAGTTTAAAGGCTTGAACTACTGGCCAGACATTCTCCTTCATGGATTTCTAGTAGAGAGGCCATCATACTACCATCACCATACCAACAGGCTTCTGCTGATATGAGGTTCTTTTTATGAAAGGCTGTTAGTTTTATGCCAAATGGTTTTCCAAAGGTCTTGGGGATCATCAAGGTTTTTGGCAAATGTGAGACGAGTCTTTGTGCTCTTTTTGGTCAGCAGTGGATTTCCCCTTGAAACTCTTCCATGTCATTTTTCACTTAAGTCTCTTTCTTACTTATGTTTCTTATCACGAAACCTGACCTTAACTGAGGTTATCTGTGATTAATCTTTTAATTAATTTATTTTTTAATTTGGAAAGCTAAGTTCAATTTCACTAACCACACTCAGGGCTGATTCTTCCAGATCTGCTGAATCAATAAGTCACTTAAATAGAACCTTTCTGAAAAAGTGTAGTAGGCTAAAAGAGCTCAAACACCAACACATCATGCCACAATCTAAACAAACAGATGGGAAATGAAGTCATTGACATCTAATAGTCTAGAAAGAGTTGCAAAGCCATTTCTAAAGATTAAACATGAAAAAAAAACACAAAAAACATCCTGCTGATCTCCAAGACCTTTGGGTAAATATTCTGTGGACTGATGGGACAAATGCTGAACTTCAGGGAAAGTTTGATTCCTATTACATCTGCCATAAAACTAACACGGCATTTCATAAAAACAACATCATATTGTGGTCAGACATGGTGTAGGTTTGTGCGCTGAAGCTCAACTGTGTTTGGGTTTTGCAGCAGAAGAATAATCCAAAACACATCAACAAGCCCACCTGTGAATAGCTCAAAAAAGATGAAAAAAATGAAGGTTTTGAAGTTGTCTAGTTAAAGTCCAGAATCAAACCTGATTGCGATGCTTTGGGAGTTCAAACAGGAAGTTCATACTGAAGACCCTTCGCACTTATTGCTTCAAAAGGTGCCACAACCAGTTATTAGATTTAGGACACAATTTGTCTTTCACACAAACCCAGAAAGGTTAGGATAACTTTGTTTGCTTAATAAATGAAATCCTTGATTAAAAAATGCATTGTGTATTTACTCACGTTATCTTTGATAATTTGGAAGATGCAAAGGTGAAAAATATGGAAAACACTAAGAATCAGGAAGCAGCAATTAAAATACAATTTTTAAACTTTGTTGTTAAAAAATGTTTTTTTCCAGAAATGACACCACTGATATGTAAACTACTCTCGTCCACAGATACTGGGAAAACACTTGAGCACAGATACACACTTGCAGATGCACACACAAGTATATGTAGGCAGGCAAATCTCAAAAAGTTACTGTAGAGAAACTGAAGTCTGTTAACCAGTAACTTCAATGCATTCCAGCTACAAACCCCATGTTAATTCCAGCCCCTGATCAGCAGATTTGCTGCAGTCTGCAGGATTTGTTTCAGCCTTCACATATGTGCCTGCTTTTGATCAAACACGAACTTATATTGCGACACTGTTTGATTGAAGATGTCAGTCACCAAACAGTGTTAGGTCACATATAACCAGGACTGTCAAATCAACAAAGGCTGTCTAGACTAAAGCTTCCTTTCAAAGTGGCAAAGCTTTCGTTTAACAGCTGAAGTGTAACAACTGTGGTGTAGTTTTACCTGAGACAGCGAGAGGGACGAAAACATCATTTTGACGAGATGGAGCTGAATCACAGCAGGCTGTGCGTTAACATAAACATTTAAATCCTCATAGCGTACTTATTTGTTTTTGGAGATATCTGTATGTTCTTCCATGTCGGGATTCAGTTAAGCAGCGATCCCTCTGGGCGGGAGAAAACGCTGCATTTCCTGGGCTGTTAAAATGGGCTTTTCCAAAGAATCCACATATGAGAGCGAACGACTGCTGTGTCAACTCCAGAAACGATCACACGCCAGAAAAGTTTCGGCCCCGGAAAAATGTCCCGCGGGGGAAAAAAAGAAAGTTGTTCGGAAAATATGGCCAGAGGTTTAACGGAACATGGGAGTTGTGTCATTTAGAGAGGGAAGGAGATGAGGGGGCGAAGAATAAAAGACAGAGAGCTGAAATGACGTTATGAATTCAGCCCATCCCAAACTATGAGCTTAAAGCTGCAGCTGCGCTCTCACTGCCCAGCTGCCCTATAACGCGCACAGCACTTTATCTCAATAACAGCTGCACCTCCGTCCTGCAGTCTTAAAAATCATGGATTCAAACTAGGTGTTCAAAGTCCTGACCGACTGCTTTCTAGTGAAATGAGAAGCATTAAAAACTTGACCAAGGTTTATATTATAATTGATATCTCATACACAAATCGGCACAATGGTTCCGCGATATACAGGCAAATGGTAAATTAGAGACACCAACACCGATAAGTGTCCTATTAATGTGTTAGAAATCCAACCATGTGCACCCAGAACCTTCTACAACGTACCCCATCACCTTAATAGGTGTTCAGCAATATCATCAACAGGCACAGCATGTGTTTCACAGTATTTTCCTGCTTCTCAAACCATGTGAGTCATCCTGTCCTGTGGACACTTGGAAATATTTCATCACAGTAAAAGTGATTGCTCAGAATAAGTTTGTTTGGCTTCACTCGACCCTCTAAGGTGACTGTTGACCAAACTTTCCAAACTGTGGCAGCAAGACTGGGTACTCTCAGGGTAGATAAACCTATTTCTGTTCCATTCTGCTTTAAATGTTGCACTGGTCTGCATCTAGTACCTTTTAACCTTAGTGGTTAAACAAAGCACATTACAATGTTATTGTCCATTTTTCCACACTGAGACACAATAATGGTGGCAGAGCTGGCATGCAAGAGAATGACATGTGATAGCATTGTTGTGCCTACAATTAAACTGTATCCCATATTTCCTGCAATTACTAAGTACTTTATATTGAATTATATTGATAGTCATAATTATAAGTCAGGATATTTACAAATGTTTTTATATACACATTCAACCAACAATAAGTTCCACTTATAGCTTATAATCATACATTTGTACTTTCATGATATATTTGTATAACAGGCATGTGCTTCCTTTTCTACTCAGAATCCTTACTTTTGATATTTAAATATAGTTAGCTCATAATGATTGGTTTTAGTCGTTTAGAGTGGTACACAGTTTACAGTAGTCGTTTTCAACACTGGATTTACAAGATGTGAATACCTTCACAGAAAGTCCCAAGACACAAGTGTCGTGTACTGTGTGAGCAGGGGCATGCCATCTCAGTCGGTTGAATAGGCTAAAGCTTTTCCTCAGGCAGACATTCCTCTGGGTCATGTACCGCATTTAGAGGGACTGATGAGGGGCAGCATCTGACTCTTTTCTACTCTTGAGCGGATTCTCGGATGTTTGCTCACCTTGCAAGTTGAACATGACTCTTTGAGTGTTTCCAACTGATGTGGTTCAGGAGGACTGCCTCCACTAACTGCATTTTTTCCTCCCTCTTTCAGGCAGCTCTCTGACTGGGCTGTAAGCCGGGGCAGGAGGCCCTCTGTCGGCCTGTCATTCTAACTCAGCCCGCTGGCTCTAACTGCGGCCATTTTCTGCTGACTAACACAAATGCCCAGAAACATCCACACATCCACAGACCGAGAGGAGGAGGCGGAGGAGGAGGCTTGAGCTGAACTTCAACTTGGCCTTCCAACGTCCCGCGTGACGAGCGGAGCGGTGGCGGAGGGCCTGCTGCCGCACGCGCTTCAACAAAGCCCCTAGCTCAACAACTTTCACCCCCTACTCCACACCTGATACGCACACAGCAGGGCATATTTTCCGCTTAATCGGTCGAAGTCAGGGCCCGGAACCCATAGCCTGTGGGAAGAAGCCTGTGTAACGCTAATACGCCACGTTCAAAACTTCATTCAAAATTACAACAGTTAAAATAGTTTTTGTTTTATCGCTGGCCTACCTAACATTTCATGTGTAACATGAAATAATTTCGTGTCTAAATACATTTTTGGCAAATTCGGTGCGCATAAAATACTCAGAAAGAGCTTTACGGCAACGAAATTTCCACTTTCATAATCGTAATTGCTGCTGGCTTCCGCCTTGCACTCAGCGTTTGATGGAAAACGTCAGCTGGATAAAAGGGCAACCCGACAGGCAAAGTTAAGATTTTATTGAAGGGTGGGCTTTAACGTGTATCATATGTGTGCCGAATTTAAGGATGGGCCCTGACAGTTCAACCTTCTTCCCACTTATGTTTTGACTGCGTGTATATTTGTTGTCATGCGCAGGACAATTCATTTTGCCATATTTTGAATGTGATTTAGCGGGCAGAATCTCTCCAGGAAAACGCCAGGGATCGGACCGTGTTCAAATGCTGAAACAAACTAAAAAAAAAAGAGAGAGAAATACAGACGCAGGCTTGCTGACATTAGGACGGAACTATCGCACCGCTTTCTGCTCCACTTTCAGCTGCGTAGCCTGCGTTACTCAGTCAACTCCTCGCATTGCGTCTTTTTCGGAAAACACGAAACAGCACACCAGTGGGAAGGGACACACTGCTACATTGTTGTACCGGAACAGGTTTTGTCCTACCATGTCGAAGCTGAGCCGCCACCGGGGAAAGTTAAAGCTGATATCAGTGCCTGCCCATCTCGCGCTGTCGTTCGTTACCATTCCATATTCATTTCTACCATTGTGCGCGTGCCAGCTGGAGTATAACCGCGGTGCTCGAGACCAGAAACGTCCCGCGTCAAGCTTCGGGCTCCACGGCAATAACCCCCCACCACACACACGCGCGCGCGCACGCACACATACATATACACACACACCGCCTGGAAGGCTGCGGCAGAACAGAACAGTGTTACATTAACCTTCCACCTGTCTTCTGTTCAGCGTTCTCCTCGCTTCTGTCTTCCTCATATTAGCTCTTCTTCCTGATACTGTGAACCGTTTTATTCCTTCCTTTAGTTTTTTTTTTC